TTTAAGTCTTTGCCTTCATTGCGGCTCGTCTCCGGTCAGGTTAAGGCCGGAGAACCAGCGTTACACTTCCACTTTTGGATGTCCTGGGAGATTTCGCTACTCCGCCCCTCCCCGCCCCCCAACAGCGGCAATGTTTTTCCACAACATTCTTCCTTTTTTTCAGAGTTTCGGTGCATGCAATCAGCGAGAGTTTTACTGTGCTTCAATGTGGTGTTGCTCTATAGCTGGAGTTCCGACGGCAGCTAGCGCAGTTGGTCCCTCTTCCGACTAGCATGACACCCTTTTCACGATACTTTGACGTACGTATGGGTGCCAACTGTTCCTGGGTGGACTATTACCATCATGCTTCATTATTTTGCAGCTCTCGACGCCCCTAAGTTACAGCCAAAGCGTCCTGTCGCTGGAGCGAAAGTCCTCAATAAACGTCGTGAGTTGCCGTCAAATCAAAAGACTCAAGTTAATGGCTCCCAAAGGGCCTCTAAACTCCCCTCCCGGTCTCCTTGCGTCGTCGGCAAAGGGGCAGACGCGATCAGGGCTGGTGCACATCTGCACACCTTGCTTGCACTCCTGCTGTGCGGCAACCCCACATGCAATCATGGCCAAATTGCATGTTTATGCATGCACTAACGGTGTACGTAATGGATAAATAGTTTCTTGGCCCTCAATAGCCTCAGTAGCCGGCCTGAGCCCTAGTGTACTGTTTACTAGCTTCCGGCGTACAGGGCAGCTAGTCTAGCCCTCCCACGAACCTAGTGAGGCCCCGTATTTCACCTAACATCCCCTCTATTCTATTTGCATTGATTCCTGGCTTAGAGACGGAGAGACCGCATGTCTCTAAGCCTGGCATCACACATGCATCAGTCGTGCTCATCTCGGTGGCGTCCACCCTTGGCGTAGCGCTCGGCCTCCTGTGCAACCCTTACCAGTGCCCCGCATGCAACATACTATGGCTATTAATGGGCCCTGTAATGCGCTGTGAAATAGGTAATAAGCACACTCCCTCGATGAAGCTAAAAGAAGCGCATTGTTGTTGACCCCACAGTCACAGCAACGCTCCGTCCCAGTAGACGCATGCTGGCATCACCAGTACCGATTTGGCGTTCTTCTTCCCTACTATCGATATATACCCCGAAATATTCTTTCAAGGAAGGTGACAGGTGAGCACAAAAATGGGATGCTAACCGATCGCATGTGCCGTGCCGGCAGGGGGCTCACCGATGGTCCCACTCACCCGCCATGCCGACAACCGGATCCAAATAGCGCTCAGACGGGGCCATACCTAACCCATCATTATCTAAAAAAGCGTTTCAGCCTATTAAGTGGAATGATTCTCAACCGGCGTTGTCAGCCGAGGGCAGGTGTGCACAGGAGAGATATGTTCATGCTGCTCACAACAGCTGGCGACCGCCGGCACTAATCACGAGGCGGCTGTTCAAGGTGGCCGTCGCAGTGATATTCGTACTCTCATTTTGAGTGGGTTCCGTAATTATACGGGGACTTGGGATGGCTCCCAAGTCTGCCAAACCGCGGTAGGAGGCCCGCGCGCCTCCACTACATGCAGGCTCATAAGACATCTGAATCACTAGCCAGTCTGCACGATAATAAGACTTGGGTCCAACGCACACGAGCCTAAAAGCCTCCCGGGCTACGACGGAATCGCTCGAGCTTTACAACTGTTGCTGGAGGTCGTCGGAGAAACTGGCAGCCACATTCAGTGAAGGAAGTAGGACAGCATTCTGTGGTCACGCGTTTCTGGAGACCAGCCTAAGCTTCCTCGAATCATGATACGGCTAGCTCACGGCTCAGCTAAGGTCTCCATTGCTGCCGTGTAGCCGTACGAGTATCCTTACGAGCTCCCTTCTGTAGAGTCCACTGGTGCTTTCGTACGAGTGGGAAGACCTACAGGGAGGTTCAGAGCGTCCTAGGTACATCTGATATTGATGCATGGTATGTCCAAAGCAATTGCAAGTTTCTGGCGGCGAGTCGCACTGTCGCTAGTAGAGCGCAAACTACGTCTGGTTCAGATACATCACTCCCCACTGCAGGACTGAATATGCACAAAGTTAGTTGCATCATTACTTTTCCTTTGGCTGTTTCTCGCCGACCACAGCGTGGATGAAACTGCCATGACGTCGTAGCCGTCCACGTTGTTCCGGGGATGCAATTGACGAGTTCATCCGCCTTCAGCGATAACTTTTGGCTGGCGATCAGCTCCAGCTATTCTTGAACGGCAGTCAACAAGACATGGTGCCTCGAGCTCTCCATCTTTCTCCGCAAGGGGACTGCATTTCAGCGTTTCTCCCACTAAATCCAGAATCAATGTTGGGCGCATGTTGCCAAATCTACTGCGGCGCCATTCTTCGAAAGGTATAACTGACTCTGTTGGCTGATGCTGGAGGAACCCTGTCTCCTCAAAAGAGCACTGCGTTACCTCCGTCGGACAGTTTGACGCCGCTAGCTCCAGATTTAGTGGCACGCTATACAGCTGTTCAACAATTGTGCCGTCGGGATATCTGCAAACCGCACGATACGCTAGAATGCGACCATAAGCAACAGAAAGAAGGAGCTGTATACCGGACAGTGACATGCCAACGCCCAGAGCAACACGAAATGGGGTCTCGCAGTCCAGATCCTCAGTATGCAGTCGGCTCTGTCGATGAGCCATCAGCAAGTATCTCAATTGGTATGACTGGTAACAGCTTTCTGCGAAGAGGATTGAATCTTAGGGGTTCTGACCTTAGAAAGTGCCTGTACAGGGTTTGCTGTTTGGTCGTCGGATGCACCGTAAAAATAGCTATATACGTTGTGACCACATCTTTGCTCTTTCTTCCAGCAGTTTCCGCTGATGTTGAACCACAGTCCAGAACTGCACGAAACAACAAGCCGGTACTATGGGGTGACAGGCCTTGAAAGCAAAGGCCAGGCAGTCTGCATCATCTACTGTACAAAGTTTTGTTTTCTGATGCGCGTCGCACATGATCATCAATCAGCAAAGAAGTAAAGAATTTCATGCTCTGACGAACTTGCAACCCAGCAGCGCTTTCACTGCTGAATTCACATGTTACGCTGATAGTTGCTAGCCTCAGCATGGCGCAATATAGCTGCACAGCAAGCTGGTGTCTGCTCTACTTTTATTGTTATGGTGAAGTTCCTAATGTCGCTTGCCTCGGAGGTGGGTAACCTGCACGCGTCGAGTTTCCCCATCAAGCCCAACAAACTGTTTCGCTCTGTAGCAGCATGACTTCATATACCTTTCAGACACTTCCGTGTCGTTTGGGAAGCGGAATGCTGCTGAGTCAGAGGTTAGTCTCCGGTGGCAATCCAGCACACGCCCGTTATGATGTATTGCCACGGCATAGTAGTAAAGAAGCTGCAGGACCGGTCAGAAACAACGAAAATCGGTCGTTAGATAGGGCGATTGCCCATGGTCTGCCCAATATCCGTACAGTATACTCCAAACCCCACAAAGGATATACGCATCTTGGCTAGTGTCAGACAACCGTCATACGCATCAACTAAGGCACAGCTTTGGTTCTGTGTCCTATTCCCGTACGACTGAGCTCATTGCCATAAATGCAATGTCCATGAGGACAGTCAGAGCAACCCCTGTGACGCCCGAAGCAAACTCTCTTTCAAGGTAGTTGTGGAGCGCAAATGTCATCCCAGAAGATTCACTGCCGACAGCCTCTATGATGGCCAAGATGATTGGTAAGAGCAGGACGGAAACTCCGAGGGGAGCCATGAAACGGTATGCTGAAAAGATAAGCCGAATGTGTACACCAGGCTGCGCCTCTGTTGTACCCACCAAGTGGAAGCGATTTGAAAAAATATCCACGCTAATTTAGCAGACTGTTGTATAGGCGGAGATGAAGGGGGAACGGATCTATTGGCGGAGGAAGTACCTGCATTCGGCAGCCGTCCGACGAAGCAGTGAGCCAAGTGGGCCATACAGCACAGTAATGCGAACACTAGAAGGGCAGCTACGAAGCCGCTTGCAGAATACAAAACTGCTGGCCCGAATGACAATAATTCCTGAAAATCGCGGCGAAACGGCAGAAGAATCAGCTCAAATGAATCCAGTTGAGAGGGCTGTCTAGGTGAATGAGAACTTCACTCTGATCCGCTCCGCATTGAACCTTTCTCAACCGCCACTAGCGCAATGCTGGAAAGCCGGCACAGTATGCGTCATCGACAGCTCAACAGCTTAACACACTAAGTGTCTTATTAAGTGGCCACCCAATTAATATTGGGTGCAAACACTAGGTGCATCAATTCTTTTGGGGACCTTCCAGCACCGCCGTACCTGGACATAGCCGAATCGGATGTACAGGCCGCTAATTTCAGCGCTATAGACGGGGACGCTACAAGCCTTCAGAGTAACCCATGAACCAAACAGAGCTACAAAGACAGCGAACCACAAAGCTCCCAGAGCGAACAACAGGGCAGCTCCCGCCAGGCCTGAAGACACAAAATAGGGATTGTTGACGTGCACACACTAGACAGACGAGTTCAATAGCTTTTCTCCTGATCAAATGTCCTGCCCACTGATTTCTTTCATATCCGAAGAAAGGGAGAATTCCTCGAAGAGTTCGCTCCAAATGTGACGAAGTTTTCTTGCAGTTACGCCTCTGTGCAGCAGGGTTTGCTCGGATATCACTGCAGAATCAGAAAACACATGATTCATATTCGATTTTGCAGAATGCTGCCCATCCAGACTCCACCTTCCATGCCGTTTGAGGAAGCTGTGTTTTGGTGGCTTCACCTGAATACTGGTATGAAGCTAGGTCTTGCTCTGCCACTCTTGAAAAGGGCTGCATTCCGTAGCTTAGGGCACGGTTACGCGCCTGGCGTTCCTCTTCATGGACACTTGGGCCTGACATCAGACATCCGTGAACAGCTCTTGCCTTCTCCGTGCCCACACAAGTTTGACATTTGCCAGTGCCAGCACAGAACCTCGGCTATCACAGGAGTGCAAACATCTTTCTGTTGCGCTACTAGCTCAAGAAGTTGTTATACCGTCGATCGTCTCCCGTTTCATGATCATGCTCTGCAAGATCCTCTGCGCAGATGAACTAGCTGCAAGATTTAGCACAAAACAGCACAGAAGCACAGCACACCGCTTTTCCAGGTGACCGCAAACTGGCTATCAGATCGAGCTGCAGTGTTTGGAGGGGATAGGGACTAATAAGTTACCTGTGCTACTACGGCTACTTCGTATGCTGCGGCTGCTGCGAGTGGAGGATGAAAAACGCGTTTCTGCGGGTAGAGGTAATTCATCTGGGATATTGAGCATTCGCCCAGTGTAGTGGAGAGGGAGTTCAAATTCCTTAAGGCCGTCTAGCTCTTTCGGCACTCGAACAATGCGGAAGTAGAGATTGCAAAGCCAGTTGTCTAGTCGCATCCGTAACATGTCTTCCATCTCAAGATATCGTTGAATGGAAGTGTCAACCTCTCCTAAAAACAAAGGAACCTGCGATTACGCAACAAAACCAGTCAGTTTCTACGACTCAAGATGCCACCGTCACTACAGTAATTGGGGAGACCGGGAGCTACATAATCCACAAGAACAGGGGGCTTCACACAACGGAAGGTCTCAAGAACTAGGTCACCTAACATACTTTGAAAGAACCCTCAACGATACGCCACTCGGGACCGACCAGAGGAAACGCCCCCCAAGCCACAACCTAAAATTCCAGTTTCCATTCACAGCACAGCAATTGCCTTGCAGTTCACGCCTCGGCGGTACGCCTACGACGTGAAAATACGGTGCAAAAAATTTGTTCTTATGCCCCCGGTGGTGGCCTCCCAAAGCGTGCCTTGCATGAATCGGAATGCGTGGACCATTCAATTGCAGCCCATCGCTCTACACCATGCCTTGAGCTGCTCACCTTGTCTACAGGCGAGACTGCACCACGCAGCAGGTAGAGCTGAAATACTAGGCACATGGATGGCTTAATGTCGGCCTCAGAGGGGCAGTTCAAATACAGCGTTTCGTCAAACCTGTATGGAAACCCCCGCAAATGCCAACGCTTCCGCAGGTTGCTCCCATAGTGTGCCAACGGAACTTCTCTTTAATATCATTGGTAATTCGCCGTGAATAACGTTCTGATCCCTTAAGCAACCCTCAAGAAGTAATTTTCCGATACTCATCCCCAATCATCGGCCGTTATTCCTCCCTCTTGTCAAGTGATGGCAGCTTATGGAAACATTTCCCTAAGGCAGTGTAAGGAAGTGATGTAGCGTGAGTCGGCTTGATTTTGCTGTAGATGTGCCCAGGCGCTCTTATTTTTGACTGTTGCGAGATGATTAAGTGCCTGGTAATAGGGGCCTTCTGTATTTTCGCCGCATGCCCGGGCTCGTGATGCTCTTTTCTCAGCATTTTCAAAATCCAATCCTTTCTGCTGCCCCTCCCACAGGGCCACCGCACTAACCTTAGGCATTCGCTGAAGTACATTGCCGCAAATGCTACAGGGGCAGAAACAGCGCAGGACCCAGTGGCCAAGGCGGCTGGGGTACTTCCACAGGCAGCGTGGTCTCCTGCATTTTGTTTAGATTCTTCAGAAGACGTAAACTCTTTATTAAGACACTTCCACACTAGCCGGTGGCCGCCTGAAAGCAAACCAGGACACAAAAGCTCTACTATCGTGGCTTGCCCGATGAACTAGAAAATCGGACATTGAGGGCCTTTTGTCAGCGTTGAAAGTATTTGTCGCCACTCTCCCTCATCCAGCATATAAGAACTCTTAGGCTCAGTTTTGCGTGTAAATTTTTAGAGCCGGTGTATTTCGTACCCAGTCTGTTCCACACCGAGACCATCATTACATATTGCCCTCTGGGGACGCCGTCCTTCACAGCCCGGCATAAGTCAAGGCGGAGCCGCAATGTCTGCGGCATCAGTCTCCAGTTCGGTCCCTCAACGCCCCCTTCGCAAACAGATAAGAGAGTTGGCAACAGTTCACTTGCTGAATGAGCTCATCACCGTCCTGCTAATGCTGGTTGTCGTCTTTGAATGAGTGAATGCGTGTGTCCTACGCTCCAAGCCCAGGGCAGCGCTGGCTGCTCTAGGAATCTTCCCCTTAAGAGAGTAACTCGTTGTGTTGAAGTCTCGTCTTAGAAAACCATACGACTGCAGCAGCTCCAACCGGCGGTGCTGTAATATTGCCTCTAGGCGCAGTTGGAAGGAATGCAATGTTTGCAGCATGTCCGCCTGCAGCCGTCGGAGCAACAATACTACTCACAACTCCAATAGGCGTTGCGAGTACTCACTCCACGCAGCCGCCGTCAGCGTGTGCGGCCTGTTCGCAGGGCAGGGTTTACCTTTCTTTCCTCATGTTCGCGAGCCGCTACCCTCCTCGCTTCCTTGAACTCAGCTTGCTTCTTCTTAACCTGCTGTATAATCCTGTCGCGTATTTTTTGAGCCTCCTGACGAAGTCGGTCGGCCTGTGATTGCAAGCGTTCTTTCTGCTGCTTCTGCACGTCTCCTGTTTCTGCAGCCCAGCGGCTCCGTTCTTCGGGTACGTCTTCTGCAAACCCGACGACCACCTCTTGACTTGTCAGCGCTTCCTGAACACCACGAGCTCAACTAGTTTTTCTAGAGTTTGCCAGAATGCCACGGGAGGATCCCGGAGCGCTACTAACCGGATATATCTCCAGAAGCCTGCAGACCGTTTCGGAAACGTTTTTGTCAGTGTTGAACTGCTCTTCCTAACCTGAAGATCCTCTAAAGCCTTTTTAGTTGTGATATTCTGCCGTATAATTGCAACAGTTCTAAGCGACTCGACGCGTTGCAATCTGTCAGCGCGTTCCTCTGCAGATGCCACCAAGTACAACTTCAGAACAGAGAAAATGCAACGAAGCAAAGTTTTTGATTAAATCATATGCATACCCGCTTTGCTAAGAAGCCCTACTACATGTTCTTGAACCCTGCAGATTCTACATACGTTGACAATCTTATTGAGTGCATTGTTGTACTTTCTAAGGCTTCAGCCTCGATTTCATCCTCTCCAAACACAAACCATTTTTCAACCTCATCGAGTTCCTTGGGATCTCCGAGTTTCGCGGAAGATGCCATAACCGGTGCTTGCTGTGCCTGCTGCTGTTCATAAAAAAGTGGGGAGCATCAGCACAAACCGTCCGCCCTCCATTAAGCAGGAATTGATTTTTATACAGTTCGAATATGTAAATACCCTGGACCACGTTTACCTGGAGTGCGCAGAGGCTCTGAAGAGCCGTTGCTGTTTTTGCATCAAACAAATTCTCCGTGGGTCTCCTCATCGGCGTCTCCTTGCACGCTCCATCGTTCTCACTATTTGCATCAACGACAGGCTGTGTGTCCTGCAGCTTCTTGGTGCGCCTGGACTTTTTCTCTCGACGGCTATGTCGGTGGGCAGCAGGCTCGGAGCTTGTGGGGGATTTGTTTTCAAGGCCGTCGTTGTTAAGCTCTGCTTGAGCAATTTCTGTTTTCGGCTGAGCTTCCTCCGACGGAAGTTGCTGGTCCTCTTGCATTTCCTTACACTCATGGTGGTTCTCCTCCGGCTGTTGCCCAAGTAAAGATTCGAGGTGCGATTCTTCTCCCTGCTCCTTTGGAGGGTTTTCATCCTGCAGTAGGTCCTGATGTTGGCCCTCCACCTCATCGGAGTTCTGTTGGTGCGGAATATCTTGCCCGCCCTCACCTTGCCGTTGCTGCAACTCCTGTTCGTATTCTTGTGAATTGCCTGCTACGTCAGGAATAATCGGACCCTCTACTTGCGCCACTTGTTCCTGTATTTGCTCTGGTTGTTCGGTGCTCGTCTGCAACTGACCGTTCTCGCCGGGCAGATCATCATTTTGCTCCAACTGTACACTGTTTGAAAGGCCTATCTGTGGCGTATCCTGCCCGCTGTGGATGTGCTGAATTTGCTCCATGTGGGGCTCAATGAATTGCCTTTCCACTGATCTTTGGGGCTCATTCGGGGTCACGTCTCCGCGTGAACTTGTCTCCAATTGCTGTTCCGCCTGGGAAAGTTCTCCATCGCTTCCAACGTGAGGTTTCTCTCCTGCAGGTGCATAGCATACTTGCGTTTCATCATTAATGGAAGCCAAACTGGGAGTGCTGAGTCGATGTTGGCTTTGCAGCAACTTACGCTCATCCAGTGCGGCGTTTGAATTCGGGTCTTCAGTATACTGCTGCCTGTTTAGCACCTCCTCCACCTGACCTGAGTGCTGTTCGTCCTCCGCCCGCGGCAGCCTTCGCTGTAATGTCTCAGAGGAACTACTGTTAAGCCCGTCAGGTGGACTCTCTTCCTGTTAAAAAAATCGAGCGACACTTGCAAATGCATAGGTGAACGGTTCGTCGAGTCGCATGCTAGCGAGCTCCGTTAAAGCAGCATCTGCATTCAAATGCTAGCCTCTGGGGCGGTGGCAGCATCTAACGTAAAAATCATCTATAGTGAATAGTTGTCGAAGGCAAATTGCCTACACCGCGCTCTGTAGGGCGATCTGTTTCGGAGTCCCCTGGATGATTGTCTTGAGAACTGGTGGGATCCATCGCAGCCAACGTCACTTCCGCACAAAACCCGGAGGAAATCGCTGCACCCTCTTTTTACAAGCCTTCCATGTGACAGCCCGTAAATGCCCGCTCCCCTCGGCGGTATTGTTGTTCTGCTGCAATGCCACGGGCGCGCCACGTCGTGACCCGTTGCTGCCCAGAAGGGCGCTGCCAGTGGAGGCAGTATCTACGTTTCACTTATTTTATGCATGTTACTACCAACAAATATACAATTTCGGCCTTTGTCTGTATTAATTGCTCACCACACACCCAACTCCTACCACTGAAGAGCGCCGTGTGTGTCTGTGGTGTGCCAGCGCAGTGACCCTGTTAGCCCTCCCCACATAATCCATGTGGGAGGCAATTTTTGAGTACCAAGGCCTATCTCAGGCCTGTGGAGCACAGATTCGCAAATGATGTGGCTTTGGGACAGAAATGAATGCAATTCGAGACGCGAGGGGAGCCGCGCTCCGGCAGTCACTCGCGATGCGCTGTTGCGGAGCAACCCTGGCCTCGGCAGAAACAATATCTTAATGACTTTTTATTGATAGAACTGCCTACATTTAGTCTTCTAAGGCACCAGAGCCTATGTTCTTAGTTGTAGAGGGACAACAGGAACGCAGCAGGGCTTTGGGTCTCACAGACTGGGGTGCCATGCTCAGCATTTGGCCTGAAACTTCGAGGAGAGCCATCAGATAGCGATGGGAGAGCTTAAATAAATTAGCTGAATACCGAAGTAATTTGCCGCTGGTGTGTGTGTGGAACTACCCAAACATTGACACATACGTTGGGGGCTGGGTAAAGCGGTGTGCAGTGCATTGCAGGAACCTCCTCCCTAAGTGCCTACTCTCCATTCCTCCCTAGTTCTTTACGTAATTAACTGTTCACCAGTATGTGCAGTATTCGAACCGCACTGTTTCATGCTCGTCGAGCGGCCGTGAGGTGGGTCATTCGACGCCCCGTACATGTGTTGCTCACCCCGTTTATATGCGCTGAAGTGGGAGGACGTGTCTCGGTCTGTAGGACACTCTAGAATGCCAGAATTCCTCAAAATCGGAGTGAGGCTACTCTCACTAACAACCGTTTCTGCTTGTAAGCGGGGAGGCGCTGCACATCCGCATGTTTTGCCCGACCACAGCATAGGCGCGCGCTCGGCCATAGTTTCTGTGCTTTTATCTTGAAAAATCCCGTCCTCCAACACAAAGTATAGCGGGGCCGCAAGCCTCACCCGAGGGGCCTCTAGAAAACGCGTGGCGCCTCAGCCACGCGGTAGGTCATTCGTTCTCCAGATCGGGACCCACACGCAAACGCTTGCTGAGTCCACCATGCCTACATTCACAGGGATACTGTTCGTGAGTTCGAGCGCATGTAGGGGGATAGGACATTCTTCACGTTTTTTTGTCCAAGGGCCTCACCAAGCCCCCCATCATGCACAGTAGGACAGGTTGTTTTGCAAGATTGCTGCTGACATCTAGCAAAGGAGAAATCGTGTGCCAGACCGTCTGTCCGTCGTTCCCAGCTTGGGCTGTTCAACATACGTAAAGCAAATTGTGTGATTGCAGTCAGCATAGAATACAAGTGTTGTAGGGACAGCCGACCCACTTCGTGCCAAAATCCTCTACAATCACGAGCAGGCTCGCCAAAGATCATCTCGTGGAAACGACAAACGTTAGGTTTTTGATTTACAGGCTGCCATACGATCGTGAAGCAGTTTACAATCTGGTGCCAATATGATTACCCACCGAAGGTGAGGAGTTTACATTGACGGAGGAAAACACAGAAACCAAAGTAATTACAGAGACTGCTGTGCTACTTGCATGGTCTAGGAATTCGCTCTATGAAATGCGCCAGTTGAGAAGATTTCAAGCTCTATGCAAAGCGCACTACCAGCATTGTTCTTCATCGTAAACATCTCGGCAGGCACCAAGTCTGACTGCGCATTTCTCACCCTACAGACAGCTTGGCTCATCTCAGGCATAGCGCCACCTTCAGGAAAACAATTATTCGCCGCCTTCCGCTATGTCCGGTGTAAAAATGACTTCAGGAAATCCCAATCATACTGACCTTCTGTCCCCCAAATAACAGCGGTGCCAGCCATTTGCTTTAATATTCACCTGTTGTGCCCACTACAACCGTGGGGCCGGGTAAATTTGCCCTAGATTGAGCGGTGGCACTGCAATGGATCATTTACCTTAGATTATTTATGGCACTGGGCTGCTAAGATATCAAAGTGCCCCGGAATTCTGAAGGGTAGTTGCTGTGCGGGAGTAGCCAGTGGAATGCCTAAGAAGGTAAAAAGCAAGGTAGGCAAGGGGTTCGTCTGGCCGGTCTCGAAGTACAGCTTCTAGAGCAGGATACAATACAGGAACCACTGTTTCCATGAGGTAGGCTATATCTGGCAAAGGCACCAGCATTTGCATGCTGGTTGGTATTTGATGGCTTCCAAACGGGCCAAAACGTCCCCGGGAGATGTTTCCCCGTTCACTCTTACTATCCTGGACTTCCTGTTCTTCATGAACTCCCCTGCAGTCCATACGCGAAGTCGTAATCGTGTCATCAGCAACTTGTCCGCTAGTGCAGAGATTGTTGGCTGTCGCAAGCTGCAGGCGCTTTTTCTCGCATATTGCTAGAGCATCCACTAGGCAATCGGAGCTAGCCAGGAAATCCCACTGGCTGGGAGAGACGTTAGAGGCAACAATTCCACATTCAATACGTCCTTTCCTGCAAGCGTTATCGTCTGATGATAAAGTTTGTTGAGTGCATACTTCGATTCCCTCTTTTTCTACCCAGGGGACAGGTTTAAGCGTAATACGCTGCTGGCTCAAAACATCGACCGGATCGAGGGTCTGGAGATATGACACGCCGTCAACAACTGTTTGAATTGCCGGTGAAGATAGACAGACATGAAAACGCGTCAGGTCTTGCCTATCTACCAAGATCGTTAAAGGAGTGGTGCATGAAAGGTTTATTTCCGCCTCCACCGTTAAATCACCGGGTGTTGCACACTCGTTTCTGGTGTCAATTGTTTCCGAAGACTCGTCTGCGACGGATGAGCTGTCGGTATCCCCTGCCGCAGCCACTGCCTGATGGCACTCGCCACTCGAGCTAGGGAAAGCCTGCGGTTTGTGCAGTATGCAGAAGGCCTTGTGCTCCTCTAGTTCCTGGTAAATGAGACCGGCGAACACTTCGTCAGTACCCTTGTAGCATCGCTCTGCTGCAGGTATAACGAGGGTATGTGGCAGCTGCGGGGTGGAGCAATACTGCCGCTCGTCGCCTGCACTCGTAGCTTGCACCTCGGGAACATGCATGATTCCGATTGCAAGCTCTGAAATCCGCATATCAGGGCTTCCGTGCATGCCATCCAAAAACACCTGCAGTACCCGCAGGCACAGGAAGCAAGGCACTACGGAGAATATTCCGTTCCACGCCGGGTTCATTAATCCAATACCTTCACGCGTTTGTTCAGAGCTGCAGTGTAGGTATGCAGGACCCAGCATGCTGGTATCGGCAGACCTGCTTTGTTCGGTTTTCTCCATCAAACGCTGGATGCTTGCCCTCGCACAGAGAGTTGAATTCCCGAATAAAGGTTTGGAGAACTGGGCTGCTTAAAGAACGACGGGTATGAAATACCAAGCGAAAGGCCCTACGTGTCCTTATCAGACTAAACAGCAAGCTTAGGAAACTAGGAGCTAGACTCCAGTAGCCATGACGAAGCTGGACGGGGAGTGCAGAGGGACATTTTAAGAGAGCCGCTTCCTCTTCTCCATGGCCGGCTTCAACGGGCGCGCCGCCGCTGAATCCCGAGTCCGGTTTCTGAACAATCAGAAGGTGCGGCTTAACAACTAGTGTGATTCCACAGATGCACAGCCTGTCCAACTTCTATCTTTGTGCCTCATTAGGCGGACTAGGGGAGCCTGAAGGCATAGAGCTAGCTGCATGTTGCCGATATCGTGCACTTACAGCGTCTGTCTCGCACCCTAGTACCCTATTTAGGTCCGGTGCTTCACATCCCAAGGCCATGCATACAGTGGGCGGGAGCATCAAGCGCCTCAGAAGAGAGCGGTGAGATTCACGGATAGCCCCTATAGCATCTTCTACTTGATCAGCACTCGTTCTACGACTAGCAGCCTTGCGCGTCTTGCGTACTCTTGCATAATTGCCGAAGGCCTGCAACCGCTGCTCTAGCTCTTCCACCTGCTCAACAGCGTCAACAAAAAGCCCGCACCGTTAGCTTTAGCTGTTGGCTCTTCGCGCTTAGCCCAGTGATTCGAGCTGAGACAGCGAACTTTCGCTAGGCGATGGATCTCGTCTGGAGCAGTTGGCCGTGCCATTGGCCGGAGACTGCAAGGGCAATATGCCCCGAATGCAAAATGAGACTTGCATCTGCAGTTTGCCTTGCAGAGTTTTTGTAACGAAGACGCAAGTACTCGCCAAATGATAAGCGTTCGTCTACCGGATCCACACTTCCATCCGTCTGAGATAATAACGGCACATCAAGACAGCAGTGTGCGGCGCACACGGCAACCGTCCTGCATATGAGCTCTTCAGTAAGCTTTTGTCGTTTATTTGCTCAATGGTGTACTGATCACTCTGAGAGCTGCGTGTGTCTCCGAAACATACAGGAAACCACTCGCCAGACGCTGAATTTACTGTCCCCCACGTTGCTTCGGCCAGCACATGTGAAGCAAACCGAGCGGCGGGCGCACCAAGGAAAAGCCCTCTTTTGGCGCTTTCAGCGTCTTTAGCGTACTTCGTCGACACCGTTACAGCATTATCGATGTCTACGTGAAGAACTATAATGGGCACCTGCTCCTGTGGAGTCAAGGGATGCCCAACAGGCGAAGGGCTGGTCCCTTGAAGGGGTTGTTGGGGGGTTCGGCTGTGTTCCATTTACTTAAACTTTTTCATACGAAGAATACGATGATTACCCGTATCTTCGAAATTGCTTAGGTTGCTACAGCGTACACCGCGTGGTTCTCTTCAGCTGGTTCGGCTCGTCGGCTTCCCAAAGTGCTTAGCTAATATACGTACTCATTTTCAGAGCTATTTCTTGGGTCTTTTCTGTATTGCCTATTCCAAAGTGTAAAGGTTGGCCGAGACGTGCAGGCTTTGGTACTGCACGTTTGGGGGCTATTTGGGGCTGCATGCGCATTCATATAGCCGTTTTCCACCGTATCGGGGGATATGATCAACATCTTGGCATTGAAGCACAGCCAGATACATTCAGTCTAACGTTATCTCCTACTACTTCACGAAAGTACCGGTCATGTAGTGACGATGGCAGAACGTGAACCAGTAGTCGAGAACATTGCAGCTTGCTGCCACCCAGACGACGGCTCCGCTCATGCAACAAACTGTCCCAGCACCATTAAAGTGAAGAGTACTAAATATGGAGGCATTTCTGCATGCTATACAAATGTGTCGACTAGCCCCGCGTCGACGGATTCCTGGGTGCAATTTTATGTCTTCCATATTGGACAGTATTTGCTGATTCGTCATACACTGACTTGAGACTCTAGTACTAGCGATCGTTACGCGTACGCATATACCGGGTAACTTGTCGACAAATGGACTGGAATATCAAGTTTGTCGTGTGGGACGCATTCGATGTCCAACAAGTTGACATGAATATCGTGGCAGTGTCCTGGAGAAGCGACCCGGTAGCGGGCACTCAATATGCGTGGCGCTGTAAGAGTTTGTTAGAGGAAGTTCCCCAAATAGTTTGTTGCGGCACACCGAGAGATACACGAAGGGTGCCGTGCCACATCTGGCAATTCAAACAGCACCCCCAGCGCTCAAAACGTTACGTCAATCTGATAGAATCCACCCATGTGTATAACATTGCCTACGTATTAAAAAGTCCCTGGTTTCGGCCAGGGATTGCAGCGATTCCCCAGAGGAATTACTCAACTGAAAAAACGGCGTCGATCCCGCATGGACAGTTGGCACATCAGCATGAATGCGTGATAGTTACTGGGTGATGAACCCTGCAGCTGAGCAGAATGTGGCTGTCGTCTGACGATAGGGTCAGGAGTCTTCTAAGTGGGAATGGCATGCCAGATCGTGTCGCTGCGTCAAATCAAACTATGTAGCCTCCAGCGCAACAGTACTAGACGGGGGGAGGGCGGTAGGTGCGGAACAGGGGAACCCCTGCTCTTACTGCTGCCTTTAAAAGAGGTATAGCACCGACTAAGAGAAAATGCAGGGCTGAATGCCTCGACTGTGTAGGGAAATTCTGGTTTGTTGTACGTTCGCAGTTGCTACTATATGTTGGCGAGCCGCAGCTTCCTGTTACTACCCTGACCTCACGCTGGGGAACGGATATCCTACTCCTACAGCACTGTATCTACTTTTAAAGGCAGCAGTAAGCGCAGGGGGTTCCCTGTTCCGCACCTACCGTCCTCCCCCCGTCTACTACTGTTGCACTGGAGGCTAGTTAGTTTGATTTGACGCAACATCATGGTCTGGCATGCCATCTCCCCTTAGAAGACTGCTGACCCTAGCGTCAGATGACAGCCACATGCTCTGCATTAGCCTTGGTGCATGGCAGTTTCAGATAAGCTGAGCAAAGGACGGGGATTTTCAACGTTCACGAGCTTTCCCAAACGGAGCACTTGGCTGACAAAGCACGCATGAACGGTGCAAATGCAGCCTCGTGAACATACGAAGACTCCAATGTGCTTGCAGAAGCTCAAAATATCTATGATCGCATATCTAGGTTTATACTGCGAAGCCCCCCAAGAAAGAGCCACAGAGGCGATCGAGACGCAAGGCAGGCTCCCCAAGAAACCGTTGGCCAGGAGGATACATAACGAGGAAGATTCACGCTGTATTCAAACGGGAATATTACACTAAAGAATTAGAACTATCCCGCACAGCGAAGTGCAGCTGCCCTCGGCGAATCCGGTTGACGCCGAACTGCACAACTTGATTCTCTCCCGTGTAGTTTTTTCGCAGCAAGCTGGTAGTACGTGAACTTGGTCTTGCAGCCACCAATCAACTCGTCTCCACCCGACAGGCGCACCATGCAATCTTTCAAGGCATCACATCTCATTAGACAGAAACGTCAATTTTCAAATTGCTATAGGCATAGCACATAATATATATATGTATATATATATTGGGCAAAATTGCATACGAAGTCCCAAGCTGTGTTGGGGCTGTGAAATTCGCCTAACGGTGGGACAGGCGAGCACATGCATGCCCTCCTGTGCAAATGCCAGTTTTGCGAATACATATATTTAGAAAAGTTAGCCACCCAAAGAAGCTCATTCCATCCCTTCAACTTTGAAATGCATGCATAGCTGGCTTCCCTAAGGCCGGTGTTCTGTGTAGAGGCCTAACTCTACCTCACCCTCGCCGCTCACTTCAGATTCAAGTGAAAGAGGGGATCGAGAGCTTTAATCCCTCCCGCTTCAACCCAGTGACGCAGAAGTACGGGTTAACATTGGGAAGCTCTGAAATTAAATATATCTCTAGTAGGATAGTCTATTTTTGTTTGGTTTCCACCGCTGCTACGGAGCTGTCTCTCGATTCTCGGCTGCTACAGATGACTTGCTGTATGACGTGTTGCCAACCTCGCGGCAGTTGTCCAGTAATATACATGCATCCTTGAATTTGGGAAGAATTGTTTTTTGACGTGAAGTCTGATATTGCCACTACTAGGCAACTGTTTTCAACGAGATCCGCTTCGTTCAGGCTACACGCTGGAGACACGAGTGCAGAACTTAATTTGGGTCTGTTAACGCATTCAGCTGAGATCTCACGATTTTCATCTGTTGAGTGAAACACAACACCGTTAGGAGCGTGTAAATCGAGAGAATTGCAGGGCGCCCTAGAGCATGGACAGTCAAAACTAATTCCCTACCTCGTCGAAGTGGACAACAAGTGGAGCGCAACCCACCGGGCCAGGCTCGCAATGAAGCTTCACTCCCAAAGACATGATGGAATGCAGCATATGACGCCCAACGAATGGGGGTCCACTGTGCGGGTCCGTTCGTTCCACGTGGAATTCCCAGAAGACGAGGAGACACCAGTGACACACACGTTGTCTTTCCAGAGGGACTTCGTCCGAAGGGACGGGGGACTTAACCTTGAACACCGTTTTCGACGGTCTGGTGGATATGTTGAGTTCCTCATTAACGACAGGTTTCATGCAATACTTGCCCTTCGATGGCTGCCGCTTGTTGCCCTCGTCTTCATCACGGTGGTCATCTGCGCTGCAACTCTATCACGTTAGTAAATACATTCCTATCGCTTATTGGTTTTGTTCATCAGATCCACTTCCGAGGCAGAAGCATGTTTGCAAGATACCTCGTCGAAGCAGGGATGGAACCTGTGTTTCACGAAGATTTCGAAATTTACATCTGGCAGTGCGGGCAGATGTTATTGTGCAAAATGTGTGTTTTTTTCCGCGGTACTTTTTGCAGTGGCGTTACTTCTTGCCACTGGAGGGAATGCAGATAAGTGCCTCGGAAATTCGAATTCAAACTGGGATTACTTCTTCTTCGTCGTCGAGACCATGTTCGCAATCGGCTATGGAAGTCCCAGGTAGTTGAAATAGACCTTACGTGCATTGGACAGACAGTAGGGTACGCATAAGCGCAGCTGAGCCACCAGATAAGGGGAGTTATCAATTTTAGACTTAAATAACTGGACGTCCAGTATTGAGTTTGGTTGGTTCTTTCCCAGGTACCCTTCATGCCGTGTCTCCAGCTTCATGGTAACCCCAATCGTTGTCACGGGCGTGCTGCTGAATTCACTAATTTTGGGTCTTGTCTTCCAAAAGTTTTCATCCGCGGCAAGAAGGAAATGGGCCCTAGCATTCACGCAGAGACTGGTCGTCTCAAGTGGGTAAGAATGGGAGCACACAACGACGCGGTTGCTCAACGCTTCTCTTTGCGTCCACTTTTAGCAGTAGCAGTTTGTAGTTTTTATTATATAGCGCGCGGTCAAACGACCATTTGGTATCTACTGCACGTAAAGTATTACGTTTCACGAATTTCATTTTGTCTGCATGCCCTTCTTGCCAAGCAAGTCCAATTCAGTCCACCGGTCCTCGTCGCCCAGCAACACTTTCGTCGTGAACGAGGGCGCTTCTTCGCCATCAAGCCACCACCGTACAGCGTCGGGAAGCTCCATCCAATACCCATCCGGCTCACCCAGTGCTCCGTTGCAGGAGCCGCTGCTTGTTGGCATACCTGAAGAAGAGTGTAAGAATTCCCACAGAGAAGCTGCTGATTGCTCATTGCGGATAACAGCGCAACATGTAAGGCCTTCCTCCTCAATATCCGACCTAGATTTCTGCTGTGGTGGCTGCATACAGCGTCTTCTCCGAACGCAAGCGAAGGGCACACATCCCAGAGCAGCGTGGACAATGGTGTGCAGCAGTACCAACGAAACGCATCGAGTCATACGTACCTGGCTCGACCATCGAGTGATTCAGTGCTTATTAAAGGCAACGAAGACGGCTCTAAAAACGATTTGCCTGGTCAGTCGAACAGCAACAGGAGTTAGGTTCAATCGTTTTTACAGCTGTTTTTCCAGTGTGCATACCGTGCTTCACCTTTTTCTGGCGAGTGCGCCTGCAGAGTCAACGCAGGGTCTACGGATATCGTTTCGCATGTTGAACATTACGGAGACATCATTTTTCAATACGAAGCTCGCTCTATTTTTTTTGGTAATAATAATACTGACGACAGCATTCTTCGTGCCTTGTGAAGCTTGCACGCCGCTTCTCTTGCGTCGGTTCGATAGATCGCTGAAAGCGACCTCTGCTTGTGCTTCAACATGCTATTTTTAGGTGCACCGGCGAGGAGGGCTTTCAATTCGTCAGTTTTCCATGTTCCACACCGACACCCCACTGGAGTTCATGGCGCTACCAATTACTGTCACAGTGAGCGCAGTCCAGTGGGCGCTGTCTCGATGATATGCGGATGCATCTCCCAGTGCTCCGTGCATTCCGTAGTGACATTTCTGTCACATGTTGTGGCTTTAGCGTAGTGATATTGCCAACATACACCTCCGTGCACTGAGGCCCTGCAGACCGTATGCACTTCCTTACTGCAGGTCGACCAGCGTGACGTTGGAAGTCCCCTAAGAGATATTACGGAGGCGGATTTACGAAATCATGGAGAATGCTACGAGCTCCTCGCTCTTCTCTCCTTCACTGACAACAGGACATCCCGCACCGTCGAAGTCAGCCGAAGGTATGTTTCCCTCTCACCTGTCACCGGTTAAAGGCATGAAGGAGCAACTTTTGCGTCTCTCAACTAAATTTCTATTTCAACGAGGCTAGGACGAATTACACCCAACTGCACATTTGTTGCCACGTCCCATAATCGCTGGAAGAACATTCATACCGGGTACGAGCGCATTCATGTCGGCGTTTCAAGGGCATGTGCAGGCATTTTTGTCTGCATGTGCAACAGCTGGCGGCTCAATACTGCGGTTTGGGATGAGCATTTCGTTCCCATCGTGCGTCAGTCTGGACCAGGCTCTACTCGTAAGCTGCATTTATATCTTACTGTCGTTATGTTGCTGACGTGCACGCGCAACAAGTCAACGTAGTTTGCAGCTTCCGCATGTCCATTATCAGCGCATGACTTTCGCCACGGAACATATCTGCAAGCATTTTATTGCAAGGAGGGATATTCAGTTGTTTGTCGTTCGCGCTGGCAGTAATACTAGACACAGTGATCCATCGTCGGTGGAACAGCCGTTCCAGCGCTGCCGGCGGAACGCGTTCATATGCGGACGCTACAGAAGTATGTGGCTGTTATTCACACCAGCGTAAATATTACATATGATAACCTCAGTTCATTTGTGCTCGTTACCCGCAGGAGCATTCGAGATCGACGTTGACAACCTCAGCACCACTCGAGTACGCATCCAGCTCAGCTTCTAGCATTCGTTAGTATTCGTGGGGCGTGCTCCATGTTATTATGCCGTTAGCTTCGTCTGCTTCATTTCAATTTGCCCTTCTGCTCTGGGTTGGTGACGCAGGCCCCAGTTGCGGATTGATCAGCGTTATTATGGGATATGATGTGGGCGCTCAGGGGACACTGCCCTCCAGAGTAGTGCACGGAAGATTTATGTTCCTCTGTGCGAATCCCAGACACCCAAGTTACTAGGGTTGCCTCTTGAGCGTTTGGCATATGGACGGGAATTCCTGCAAGCGAATTTCGGTCCTCCTTAATCACTGTCGTCCTTGGTGGTGTAATATTGTGTTCTTGCGCAATTTCTTGCAGCTCTCAGCATAGCTGCCCTGATGTCAGCAATCTGCTGCCGGCTACGGGAGCACTGCGAACTGTTAGATGCTGGCCCATCGCCAATACAACAGGACGACTAACTACTGAAGTTCCCGCTGACGGTGCAGTGCAGCACTTTTTCTGGAGCGCATTGCCTGCCAACACACCTGAATCATTTAACGATGCAAGTGGTTACTGCTATCTCAGCTCGCAGCAACCGATCAAACAATGTGTTAGTATCACGCTTATTAAGGCTGCGCAGTAAGCATAGCTAAGCAGGAACTAGTAACTGTTTGACAGTTAGGGCAAGCTAGCTCGAAACGCACGATAATCAGCTGGTGAAAAACCACGAAACCTATACAAGGGGTAGTGTGAAGCAATATTGTTAGAGCGGCCTTACGATATAATATGACTATAGCTTGAAGCTACGCGGTTTGAGGCGCCACATTCTGCTAGCTAGGCAGGCACCAATTCTGCTCTGTACACTAAATCTTGCATACGATTAAATAGCTGCGGGAGCGACATTAGGTGAAACTCTCTTCCCTATGAGTCTCTCCTATAGCCGACGTTAGCAAGCAATGCTGTAGGAAAGGGAATTTGCCTGATCCTATCATCTTGCGGGGCAAGTAGGATGCTCTTGCATTTGTTCCAGTGCATCGTGAACGTTCCCATTGGCGCAGGCACACCCTCACGCAAACCCCATACAGGGTCATCATTATCCGGGAAGTTTTCCCTTTACTCTCCGTCCCACTGCACATGTATTAACGCCAACTCTCCTGTTTCTCCCTAAAGATTTACTGGCCGTATTTTTCCAGTTTGGTACTCAGGGTATCACGATGTGACCACCGTTCTCCCTCTGCATACACGCCATGTGCCCGTACAAGCGCCGAATGCTCACCCCATCTTTTCCACAGGGTACTTTAGATGGGTGGGACATTATGAATACTTTTCGCATGCGATACTAGTGAGAGCCACCGCTGTTCACTTGCAACTGCCTAAGAACGAACGCTTACAGATTGTAGTACCCCACGTAACTGGACTGGCTGGGCTGCAGGAATGCAACGGCACTGCGCTTACCGTTGCTTGAATAAGAAATTCAACCTTTGGAAAAAATATAAAAGCGGTTCTCTACTGAGTGATGCGCAGGAAGTAAGAAATGCGAGTCGTATCGGTTTAGGCACTATCCGTGTCCGCGAGGGCGCAGTGAACCGCAAATAAGAGTATAGTATGCTAACTGCCCTCTTCGTATTCCGCAATGTAGTAGATGTGAATCAATAGCACTGCCCCGCTGCCTGATTACGGTCGACAGCTACTATCCATTTGGGCGGAAACTTCCGTTGCCGCGGCTGACTTTACAGCCCCGTTCCAACAATTCTGAAGGACGACCCCAACGTTTAGCCCTTTTCGCGATAATGTAGTGCCGGCGTTCAGGCCCCACCGTGGGAGGCAGTTGTGTAACTACGAGGAGTAACTCGGAGAACGAGCAGCCACTTCCCTAGGCGGAGGTGGAACGCCCCGCCTAGGTGCCAGAATGCTAGAACAGCACACGGAGCATTGCCCACTATATTTAGCTGATTGTTTTCGCGGACGATGGAATCCTATATATTCAGCGGCTGAGCGACTCATCAACCTGCACTCCGAGCCCACCCAGCGACCACCTTCAACTCTATAGCGACCTGTTAGTAATGTCCCCGTATGCATCTTTTGTCTATATTGGCCACTGGAGCCCCGTATAACGCATTACAACGGACTACCGGGGTAGTTATTGCATCAAATGGGGGCTAGAAGATACCTGCATACAAGGTCGAGGTCAACTGTGAGAAACTCCCCTTCAGAAACGCCAGTCTAAGGGAAGTTCGGCGCCTTAGAGATCATGTGGCCCTCGGAACGATCCCACTTACGTCAGTAGATGCACTAGTCCCGTCCAGCAGCTCTGCGTCTTGTGCCCCCAACGAGAACACAAACGCAGATGAAAAGCACAATTGTGAGGTGTAGAAGGGATCCAAGTTCCCTCACACGATGGGGTGATGGGATTCCTTAACACTCTAGGTACTGCAGGCCCTGTAAGCTGATGAGAAGTGAGGGAGAGCCCTCAGTTCTCTCATGCAGTTGC